GTACCCACCTTTATAGGGCCTAAAGTTTCTCCCTCACTTTTAGTCAATTTAAGATTAGTTTAATACCATAAGGAACCACACAGTACTTAATTTTAGGGGTTGGGTAAAGTTGATCGGCTTTATAACAAAAGGGAAAGTGCTCCAAATTCTGAGCCCTCATATATCCCAGCCCAATATCAACCCCTAATTTTACACCAAAGTCTTCTATATGGGGGAGTTATATTTAATATAGTATGGAATTTTTTTTTTTGACCAGTAGCTGCGTAAGGCTATTTGAATTAATGATTTAAAATTCAAGTGTGAAAGTCTCATATAGGGCAAGCAGACTGCAGCTTGCTAGATCTGAGATCATCTTAGAGCCTGGTGTTAAATTCAAGCTAATGTCATGACCTGTCAATATGACAAAGGAGTGGCAGGATCTCACATCTATATTGAGTATTTAATTTAAATTACTATTTACTTACTTCATGCGACCTTGGTGCTTTTGTCCTATCTCCGTTTTTTTAATAATTGAAAATGTGACTTCTTCTTAAGCTCACTTTTTGTTATGAACTGTTTTCACTGTTATCAAAAATGGAGATAGGACAAGAAAGCACAGAGGTCGCGTCCTGGGGCTCTCTTTTATGTCTTCGTTGGGTGCAATATGCTGTTTATAAAAAATCAGCAGTTTCCACATTTAAGAATCTGAAAGGTGATATCTCCTTTCCAAAGGGGGGAAGAAGGAGTCTCTATCCTACGCATGTCTGATTTGGAAAAATCAGTGTCCATGGATGCTTTGTGGGTCATTCTAGTTCTAATGAGGGTCATTAAAGGTGTATTTTCTCCATCTTTGCTCACTGTGTAATGCACTTCCTGTTTACTGCCCTGTATTTATTAACCTACCAATGATTTTCAGTTTTTATCTTTCTCTTCTTCCTCCCCTTCCTCCTCCTTGTTACTATTTTTATCTCATCATTGCAATATCATTATTAACATTTTATTTTCATTCTTATTCTGGTATTGTCATCATTAATCTTTTGCAGGATGAAGTCCGCACTGATTCAAGAAAAAAGAATTTGTTAATTCTTGTTCTGAACTACCTAAATGAAGAAGGGTATGTATAATAAAGCAAAGAACTCTTTTAAAAACTATTAATAGCTTCTTTTGAGTACTGTGCTTTGGACTAAATATAAATTTCATCTTTAAACGAAAACATGAAAGTAATAATTCATTGCTAAGATTCAACCCTGCACGTAAAACTGCCTGTATGCTTAGCCACTAGTACAATGGTGAGCAAGACCCCATTCCCAACCTGCCATGCCTGTGACAAAACGCGGACAGAAAACAGTGTTTACTTCACAAGATGTTCCTGATTATTTTGAAGATTTTCCTGAATTAAGTGCTGGTAACGACAAGGAATACTCTGAGTGGGATGTGGAATTTGATTCTGACGATGATATGAATGTTAGTGATATTTCGCTCAGAGCTCAGGCACAGGGTCACGGTAGCTTCAGGAGATCAGGTCTCAAAGGGTTAAGGGAGTTGTTGAGTCTTTTCCCACATGACCCAGGGAAGCGTTTTTAAAATTTGGAATTATTCAATTTAGGTTTTTTACTTACCCCAACCACTATATACTGAAGGCCCAGGAAGTTGTCTCACTAACAAGGCTATCTCCAATGTCCGGATCGGATGCGGGAACAACTTTTACTTACCCCTTAAATTTTTAAATATTTTCTATCAAAAAAGTTTTTTTGTGTTTGTTTGTTTTGGACATGGATGAAATGCTCTCAATAGAACTGATAATATGAATCTGAATGCAGTATGGTCTTGATATGAAATAAACTGTGTATGTAATGTTATGCCTTGTGCAAATTAATATTATCTCATCCAAACTTTCAATGTATAATGCTGTCAGCTTTTTTTGTTTCACTTTCATTTTTCTTTTGCATTTTGGAAGGCTTGATCACTTTTTTTTTCTTTTGCTGAGAAAAATTCTACACTTTGTTTTAAAGGAATTTTCTTTGGGTTTATACTTACAGGTACCTCGATTCAGCATCTAATCTTTCGAGAGAGACTAACATTGATCTACGCCGCTATGAAGTCTGTGACAATATTGATCTCGAGACAATTCTTATGGAATATGAATCCTACTACTTTGTCAAGTTTGCAAAATATCCAAAGATTACAAAGAAACTTTCCCCACAAAGTGGTATGTAACCAAGAGGCCATGATTTAGATGTTATCTCGTTTAATGTATATTGTTGTCTGGTCTTTAAAGTTTTTTTTCCTGAATCAATTTCCTGTTTTATGTATCGATTACATCTTGAACTAGTTTTCTTGTTGTATTTTAGTTGAGAAAGTTTGGAAAGGGCACCTGTGGTGAGAATATTATTTTAAAGAGATAGTTTTTTGTTTAAGCTTTTGCCCCATGTCTTATCTTTAAATTGAAAAAGAAATTAATGCAATTCTCACATCTGCTAACTCTTTTTACTGTTTCAAAGCAAAACAAACTGTTAAGTCCTCTGTGGATAAGGGGGTAATAAATGAACCTACTGCACACCTGAAGCAGCCCTGAATGAAAGAATAATATACATTATCGTCCGATAATTATATAATCACAACATTATCTTTGTAAATCGTGTCTATTGACTTTCCTTTGTTCTTCTTCTTTTCTATTACCTTTTGGCCTAATGCTTTGTATTTCAAAGAATTGTCCCTTGTTGAAAGTTGATTTATTTAAAATATTTTTACATGTATGTATATCTTTGAATGTAAACTAACAAAAACATTTTAACTTTTCATATATGTACAGTGGCGATGGATGGACCAAAATTTGGGTGGGGCTAAGGTTGCTTCAAGCCCGTGAGCCCTTCTGTACCCACTGCCACTGTATATGTATGTTGTTAGCATGTTTATCTGTCTGTATCTCTTATCCATCCACCTTTTTGTCGATCAATCCATCCTTCCAGCCAGCCGTCCATGAGTCCATTCCATTCGTCCATCCATTTGTCTATCCATTCATACATCCATCTTTCCGTCCATCCATTCATTCTCTCACCATCCATCCATTGTCAGTGGTTTTATCTGTCTGTCCATTCATCCGTCTATCTGTCTTCCTGTCTGACTGCCTGTCTGTCCGTCTCTCCTAAAGCAACTGCATTTTATTTTCCATAGCCGAGTCTATTTACTTTGACATCAGTTTTCGACCATTAGATGTGCTTGTCTGTATTGCCTTCTACTTGGGTGAAATATTGTCATCAGTTTGAGGTATATGAAAGCCGTTATAGCGGTTTCAGCTATTGTTGTCAGATAAGGCCTACAATTATTTTGATGCTTTAAAGATTTTAAGAGCAGTATGGTCCCCTTTTTAAAGCATAATTGTCCTAAAGAATCCCAACATTACCCATGTTCTTTGCTCTACAGACTTTTCTGTATTCACATTGTTGTATTGCCATCTGTCTTTCTGGTTACCATGCAGCACAGAATAGTAGTGATATGACAGCTGAGTTATTACTTTTATTTTTTTCTATGATGTTATGAAAAAAAACCCTGATCGATGTCAACATTTAATACGTTATTCATTTTTCTTCTTTTATGTGGATAATCAGGCATGGCAGGTATAGATTGTGTGAAATGCTTTTATCTATCTCTGTTTGCCCCCTTCAGTGCTGATATTGCTTTGGTCTCCTTCTCTCGTTTTCATATCACTTGTTCTATTTGAATGCCACTTTGCATATTGTGTTCACTTGATGAAACAATATGTTTTATTGTTATTTTGTATATTAGACACCCATGGTCAAGTACAAGGGATAGGTATCTTTTCTTTAAATACTGATTTATGTATTTTTTATCTAGTGTAGCACTCAACTATGACATTATAGTCTACATATCCATCTTTTAAAATGAACATTTTACTTTTTTTTTCATTCCTAAGCATAACCTTTTGTCATTTTAGTGATGATTATAATTATTGAAACTGTTCTCCGTCAGATGACAAATTTTTAATCTGGTTTGTAAGACTCTGGGTAAAAAGTGATGCATTTAATTGTTGTCTTTTTTTGTTGTTTCTTTAAAAAAAAAATTTTTAAAGGAAAAAGTGAATTGATATCGATATTACTTGGATTCTTTGTTTAAGAACACTTTTTACTTTAATGAAATCAATATATGGCCCTTATGAAACTATACTGTACTGCTCTGAAAGTAATATGATGTTCTCTAAACTTTGTTGCAGTACGCAATGGTATGTATTATATGAACTCCGGTGTTCATTAGCATAACACAGTACTTTGATTTGATGAGCAGATCTCACATGGATTCTTCTCAAACTGTGCTCTTCTGGGGCATGTGGAACAGTTTCAGTTTGCTTAAATAGTGTGTGCTAAACTTGTATGAAGTACCAACTGTCAACTTGCATTCATTAAAGTACACAGAATAGAGTGCAAAAGAAGCAATGCTCACCTAACATCTAAAGTGACTAAACAGTTTTAATAAAGAGACTTTTTTTATCTTAGCAGCTTTTATTTGTCTCTAAAGTTTAGTAAAGTTAGTAACCATTTCTTGTCAATTTTGTTTTGTTGTGAACAGTTAGTCAACTGCAGAAATAAAAGTTAAATGAAGTGTTGGGGGGGGGGGGGGGGGCAGCTGAAGGCTATCTCGCTTATTAGTGGATCAAATGTTACCAAATTTCACACATATAACAAGCATTGTAAGGAGTCTTAAAATCCACAATCTAATTTTCGAGAAAAAAAAATTGTTTCCATGGATACGGCGGCCATATTGGATTTTGTTGACAAGTCTTTCGTAATTAGCACAGCACTTATTTTTCATGGAAATAGATAGTTTTTTTGCACGCATCTTGGTAAGCAATAGATCTCCAAATTTGAGTGATGAATTTTTCCTAAACGTACTAGAACATTTTTAACCCTATCTGTACGTCGTGCTTTACTATCGTATCCTTACAATGTGGGGAACTCTGTGCCACCACTTTCCGAAGAGGAAATTTACTTGTTAGTTTGATCCGTACGCTTTGCATAGCAGTCTGTCAAAATGATTTTTTGAGAAATACTGAAAGTTTCAAAGAGATCTTCATGCTAGAAGTATTCTAAAATGTGAAGAATATAGCCCCAGGGGTACAAAATGACCCCTGAGGGTACGGGTAGGGTTAATAATTTTTTTCCTGAGGTAGTATTCACGTTTGCAAAAAATCAGTGAAAATTCACACTCCAAACACCACCAACAAAAAACTATTCCATATATATATCAAAAATTCATCACACAGAATTTTAGTATTACATCTTTTCTTCATTTTGTGAAAATTTCAAGAACATTGGCTTTAAAATGGTGGAGTTATTTTAAAAAGTATATAGAAAAACCCTGTTTCGAGAAAACGGGCGATAAAGAAAAATAAAAGATTGACTTTATGAGGAAATGGTGGTGACAAACATGTCTGGTATGGGAAGAAATAAGGCTTTAGGGGGTTGTCCTGCGATGAAATAGTTGTAAGAGAGGCTGAGGAAACTGAAAATGCCTACAACTTAAAATCCATCGTTTTTAGCCGAATCGAGACTTTCAGGGTGCCGCTCCCCCCCCCCCCCCCCCCCCTTTAAATACTGACAATTATGTGACATTGCTTTATAGAATGATTGCAAATTTCTGCAACTTTTAGAGAGACACTTTTGGACCAATTCCAACAAAATGAGCCTATCAGTCAGCTATTATAGAAAGTAAAAATAATTATTCATATGGCAGAGGGAGCCCATTTATCTGTCTTCTTACGAAGAAATCAGTTTACTCTTAAGCATGCCAGCATGATGATTTTTTTCAGATTCTTGTATCCTCAAGTATAGGCCTACATTCCACTGTACATGACAAATGTGTGCAAACATGTTTAGTTCTGATCTTTATTTTTGCGGTGTCTTTCCTGCCCTCTCAGTCTACCTAATAATCTGTGCACTTAAGGATACCAAGCAGTATTGTTTTCTCTGTGTTTGCAAAACAAGCATTTAATTTTGTGTTCAATAAACCCTGAGGCTGTGATTATTCCTCGCATTGCATGGCCTAAGCTGCAGGTACCCTTTTGCCAAGAAATTAGTTCAAGGTTGCAATAACACTCTGTGCTGATTTCTAGTGTGCCTTGTTTGCAAAGTGTGTGTGTGAGAGGTGTATTGACCCCCTTGAATTTCTTTTTTCTTTTTTTTATAATTGCTCTTTTTCTATCTCTCCTTCTGTCTATCTCTATGTTTCTCTCTTTTTGATTCTCTCTCACTCATTGTTTTCTTTCTCTCAAATTATTTTTCTCTTTCATGCTTTCATTCTCTGGGTCTCTCTTAGTCTTATCTTCTTTCTCCCTCTCTTTTATTCTCTGTCTGTCTGCCTGCCTGCCTGTCTGTCTGTCTGTCTGTCTGTCTGTCTGTCTGTCTGTCTGTCTGTCTGTCTCTCTCTCTCTCTCTCTCTCTCTCTCTCTCTCTCTCTCTCTCTCTCTCTGTCTCTCTGTCTCTCTCTCTCCCTCTCTCTCTCTCTCTGTCTGTCTCTCTCTCTCTCTCTCTCTGTCTCTCTGTCTCTCTCTCTCTCTCTTCCTCTCAAAAGTAGTGAAAATATTAGCCTCATTGTTAGTGAAATAGTTGTTTAGACTGGTTTCACTTAGAAAATTGTAAGTCTACCAGGGTGGGTTTTTTATTTTTAGTTCTTTTTTTTTGTTGTCTATTACATTCTTCAAAATTAATGCGTTCTTCGATTCACCAACCCATGTGCACTTTTAGGGTAGCAACTTTGTTGCTTTGATTAATATACTGAGTTATACAGCTGTTTTCATTACACCATCCACAATGGTTCAAGACGGATGGTTGCTTCGTTGTTTTGTGAGTAGATCTAGACCTTTGGGTCAGATGTGTCATTAACTTTATCAAATTTGGCAAAAGCATCTATTGACACACTGATGTGATTCCATTTGTGAAATAGGTCTGTGAGTTGTGAAAGTAAAATTGCCTTAAACTTAAGCTTCAGTGTAGTAGAGAGAAAAATTATATGCACCCAAATATTATTTTGCACATAGTCGTCTTTTGAATTTTTTAGTGAAACATGGAGTGTGCTACAGGGATGAAGACCTGGAGATCTATAAACTTTTGCCTGATGAAGAACATATTTTACTGTTTTCAGTTTTCAGTCTTTTTTTAATGAGATTCTTGTATGTGCATATGAAATAAAAGCTGTGTGTTTATTCAGTGATGGTTATTTTCTGCGCTGAAGTTCTGGTAAAGTCAAAATTCTGTTATATTTTCTTATTACATTTGAACCATTTTGGTAGTTGTATCTATCAGTATTTGCTTTCATGTAAATTGTGAATACATCATTTTTAGATTCAGGTCCAAACAAACAGGTTTTTTTCCATATTCTTCTGATTATAAGTTACTTTAGAATATGTCGCTTAATTTTTTAACATTTGTTTGTGTTTTAAGTGGAAATATATCCGTCTTTTCATGGAGTGTTTTGTTTGGAGAAAATAAAGTTGTCCGGAAGTGTAGGTGTATTTTTTTAGATCTGAAATATCTAAAAGACAAAAGCAAATTGTTTCTTGTTGCTATTTTCCAGTGCAAAATGCTGGTCCTCCTGTTGTGGAAAAATTAGAGTAGAGAAGGAAAAACAACAATAAAACTAAAAAGAAAAAAAAACTTGCCATAGAAGTAATTACGGGTTGTGCCTCTTTGATCAATGGGTACTGAATGATTTCTGAGACTTAACAATGGACACACACTTAATACATCCTGTCATTGGTCAATGACACATGTTCATTTAGGAGAAAAGACCTGCGCTCCTTTCTGTTTTGTTTGTACATATCTATTTGTCCGTTTGTTTATATATATGTTATTCCTTTATTTATTTAATCTTTTCTTTCTTCTGCTTATATTGCAAACTTGTTTGCCTTATGAAATTGTGTGAATGCTTCAGTTGTGTTTTGAAATGATTATTTTGCTTTCTTTTCCTTTTAGCTGGTGCTGCCGACAAACGTGCTCAAGCCAAAGTGAGCAGAACAAACAGGTAAGCTGTACCATTTTGAACTGTCATTTGATGTTTGAACATCCATTATAAGAGGTATTTTTTTATCCGTTGTTAAGTATAATAGAAATTACAAGTTTGGTGCACAAGAGTGAAGCTGCTAAAATTTTGAGTCCTTGCAAAACTCACGGAAACAGCACTGAGACTGTCATTAGCTGTCATGCTTTTGTCTTGTCAGTTTTGCAAAGTCCATTTGAAGAGATAGTTCATCCCAAAATGATGTTTTCATCTTGGTAAAAAATGTGAATAACCCAACATTTTTTGTTTTCAAAGGATCAGCAATTTTTAAAGATGTTATAGCTGCCTTCATTAATGTATACCGTACCTACTTTGTTAGTAAGCTGAAGACAAATATTTCATAGGTTACTTACATTTGAAATTTTATGACTGTACAGTGATATGCATGAAAAAGAATATAATTTCCTTTCTATAAATATACAGTGGCCAGTGCACATATAGTTGAATTTGAAATACATGCATTAGTTTTTTTAGGAACTGAAAAGTGAAAGGTTTATGTATATTTAAGCTGACATTCATTTTCCCTTCCTATTCAGTCTCCATAGACCAAAATTTGTAAGACAGAATGATAGTCCTAAATCTGCAAGGTAATACAAGCTGGAGTTTGGGTTTGCTTTTCCATATATATGTACGCTTGATATGCAACTTGCAATACTTGCATTTACTCTGGGAAGTCAATTAAAATATACATAGATTTTGAATGACATATTAACATTTTAAAGTATAGTTTTATTGAGAACAATTTTATAGTTCCATGATTGTATCTGAAATGTACATCACTGATTTGAATTGAGCAGTTGATAGGAATTTCAAGATAGGGATTAGGCCAGATTCTTGACTTTACTGTACATTCACTGAGGATTTTTGCCCACTGTGTACCTCAGAAGATTATGTGATCCTGCTTTCTTTATGTAAATATGTTCAGAAATTCTCGTACTACAGTTAAGACTTCTGGTCTTGATTGTCAAAGTTTTATACCTCTGAATGAGGTTTGTGCATATGTCTTGAACTGTTTGATATAAAAGAAATGTCTAAACCTTGTTCAGACAAATTTAGGCCTCAAGAGATTTCAATCCCAGATTTTTTGCTTTTTATATGAAAGCACTCTTTTGAACCTTTCACCCTCTGTGGGTTACCTGCTTTTGTTTCTTTTTCATTTTTTTTCATTTTGAACATGCGTGCTGTGATTTGACTGGAGTGAATCAAATGTATAACTTTTGAATGGGTGAAAAATTGGTAATGATCTCATATATCCTTTAAAAAAAATTAAAAGCTGCATTTTTAGGGGAGTGGGGTACTGTTATGGGTAGGTGAAGAGGTTGCTGAAATAAAGCTCATAGTTTGGGGGGGGGGGGGGGGGGGGGGGGATTCGCTTAAACTGGTTAAAATCCTTACTATATTATGAACATAGGAATTATTTAACAGGCCCGAGTTTATCTTGCAATATGATGTCGACAGTTCTTTAAACTCTTTAAGACAGCTGTAGTGTTTATGGCTTACAATGTTCCTGGCTTTGTGGAAATATTCAGGATAATTTCTCCTGTATTGAGAAATCATTTGTGCCTGTTCAAATATAGACAAAACAAAGGATGTATTAAACACGGTGCAACGGCAGTGGAATTTTAGTTGCCGCGGGGGGTTCCCCGCTGGGTGCCTTATCACGTCGGGGTCACGGGGGTCAGCTCCCTGTCGCTGCTCTGTCTGGGCCGACTTAATGTTTGGTACTTTTCAAAGTACAATTTAAGGTCTATCCTTGTGTTTATGATAATTCTCATTTAGTGCACCCAAAGCATGCATTTCTGCTCTTGAGACTCAAAAAAGAACGGACGTCAGAACTTGTCTCATTATTTCGTTAGACGCGCTGGAGTCGGCAATGCTGAATTGTATTTTTTTGGGGACTAGCGTGAATTTAAAAAAAAATATTTTAAAAAAGGCCTCGTTAAAATCTGTCAAACTTTTGGAACATGAATGACATAGCATTGGTACAGATACTCAGAAAAGATGGTATCTGCGCATATAATAGAAAGCTGTAATTTTGCAACTTTATCCATCGGGCACACAATTCGCTATGAAGTAATTCCTCCCAATACAACTTTATGTGTCTAATATAATCGTGAATATTCAGATATTTTCTCGAAAGTTTATAAAAGTCACCATGAAGTTTCTCTATGAAAAGTACAAATCGATTTTAGTGCTAGAATACATCTTCAAGGTAGATCTAATACACGAACAGCATCTGTTACATTCCAGAAATTCCTTACTTTTCTTAAAACGTTAAGTCTAGGTTTTGTAAGTTGACTGAATAATAGGGATGACCTCCCCTAATTGGGTTATAAGAATAATTTCTAGCTTTCCAGGGACACTGAATCAGCACCAGGCTTTTCCAGCTTTATTTTTAGTTTCTATGACCATTTGCAGTAACTGACAATGTGACTGATTTTTTTACATTCATAATTGTGTCAGCGCATATTTCCGACACAAAAACTAAGAATGAATGTGTTAGCTATCATTATATTTATTCCATACAAGAAGTTTATCTCTACCCATTTATTTACACGGTTTTGTGGGTTTTTTAATCACTTAGATTCTATATTATATCTTTTTCGTTGTATGCAGGCTGCCACAGACACAGCATGATTCATGAGCAACCACAGAGTAACTTTCCCTTGTTTAATAGTAAAATAAGAGCTAACGCTGATCGTCTTTAGTTAAAAAATACAGATGTGCATCTTTCTTCTCTTATAACTTGACTATTTCTACTCTCGCAGATTTAAGATTTCTCATGGCAAAAGACATGATATTTGTAGTCAGTTTAACACAGATTTGGAGAGATCTGTCGTGCCTTTTTAAAATTAACAATCATTTATTCATAAGTTTGTAACTAAAATAGGACAAATTGGGTACTCTACAAACACTTGTCTAGAACAAAAACTAAGGCACTGAAATTAACCATTCTAATGCAGAATAAGTCTCAAGACATTGAGCTTTTAGTACATCCGCGTAATGGTTTGCAATGTGGGATGGGGAAGAAGTTATATCGTTTTAAACATAGTCAAAAATGCGACTTCCTAACCGACACCGGCAAAGTCGCTTCAGGGCTCATTAACCCCGTGACCCCGGGCCGGGGAGCTCGGGCGGGCTGCTGAGTCACGCGAACTAAAAGTAACAGAATCGGGCGAAAAGTGACGTCGTGTAAATATCACAAATCTTGACAGATGCCTATCACATTGGAAGTGCATTCGATTCGGAGCCAGGAGAGATTTTTAAAATCATTACATGAGAAGGGGAAATGAAAATCTACTCTTGACTTTCTCATCAAATACTCCAGCTTTGGTTGAGGCTAAGCATGAAGATGTACAACTTGTACAGTTGACTAGGATGGTGCGGAAATATTTTCAGGATTGGTACCCCCACTGAGCCTAATGTTTTGTTTATTTTCTCAGCAAATTGAACTATGTGATTGCTGCCAAATGTTTCTCTGTTATTCAATTCTAAGTCACCAAATGTAATCAATAGCAAAGAGTTTTCTGTGCTTTTGGTGTTTTTCATTCTTTGTGAAGGGTTTTTTTGTTCACTACATTTCAAAATCATATCTATGTTATTAAGTCTATTTGAGCATTTACAGTTATAAATTTATATATATCCAACTGGTGGTTTCCTAATATTTTATCTTTTTGGATTTTAAAAAATTGATTATCTCTGCTTGGATGCTATGTTTAGTGATATATATACATTATTGCTGTGCTCATGGTGGTGATATTGACAATGAAAGTCTTTTTGGTCCTGTCTTCCTCTGTCGTGCAAAGGGCAGAACAATTCTCGTTGGGTTTGGGGTTTTTTGGGACGTGTAGGCCTATCTATTCTGCTCTGAAAGCAAGAAATATAAAGCTAAAAATTTATTGCTGTTTTTCCCCACTCACACAAAATTTTGGTTCTGTAAAAGTAGAATTACTGGATTTATGGCTACACAAGAGAATTCAACTCTGTTTAGAAAAAAGTAAATGATTAATGGTCTTGAGCAGTTATCTTGTGCTTCAGTATTTGCTTTAAAGCTTTTAATCATGCTGTTTGGTTTAAATATGGTTTTAATTTTTTTGGGCTCTTCCGTTTGCTTGAAAAGCTATCACTTTGCACTGCTTTTTTATGCCAAGATATTGATATTCTTTTGATATTTGCTTTTTCTAATTTTTTTTCTGCAATTTCCACACTGGTTTTCTCCTGTTTTCCTTCTTTCCAACCTACAGTGTAAAATCAAATACTCCGTCCCTTCCCAGAATCCCCCAAAATTCTCGCCCCCCTACACCACCTCAGCAGCAGCAGCAGCAGCAGCAGCAACAGCAGCAGGCTCGACCAGCGTCAGGAAAGAGTCGGAGGAATATCACTTCCTCCACTCGGAAAGCATTATCACATCCTGCCCTCAACGGAACTGCACTGGTGAGCTATTGAGCTGACAGTTATTTTTCAAAGATAAAATAGAATTCTTAAGAAACTAAAATGACCATGACTAAAAACAAAACTACAAACGTTAAGACTGTTTTTAAATGAAGACTTTTTTTCTTTGAGTCTCCCTGATAATATCAAACAAATGTCTCTGTTTTTGTGTCTTTGGAACCTGTATACATGTTACTTTCCTGTCAATAAATGTAAGTTTGATGTGTATGTGATACTTAAAATTAGGTCTTGTAATTATTTTGAGATGGAATGGATACATACTGAAACACATGATAATTTTTAAACCTTTTGTCTTTTGCTATTCATTGTTTCTAGGCGAGAGGAAAAAATGATTCTGTGTCTAATAGAATTGAATAGACTAAATTGTTGTCAGTGTTGTTTGTTTTGATCAAGGGTAATCTTCTTGTTTATTCTGTTTTTTATTTGGTGTAGAATAGTGTTTAGCAGCTAAAAGTGTCTTTAGTCATGGGGACAGAAATTGGAGAGTCATTTCTGCTTATATCAAATTGGACATATTGATGATTATTTTGTTATAGTTAAGTCAGGGATTTTTGTTGTTGTTTTTTCATTATTTTTTTTTCAATGTAAATTTTTTTTTTACACCCACATCAACACAATTGAGATCATTTAGGGGGTGGGCTTCGACTCTGCCTTTCAAAACCGACCCAGACTGAGAGTGATTCAATGTCACAGCTGAAAGACAGAGATATTCAAGTTGGTGGTTGGCGGGTGCTCTGGTGTGGTTTGCTCCTTCTTTCCTTTCAAACATCTATCGTTCTTATATCCCGTCCTTCTATTTTGTGTTTATTACTCTCTTGTGACACCTCTAATCTTCGGCACTTATATGACTTTATTGTGTTTCAAGTGCTGTAAAACACTTACTTAAAAAAAAGGAGATATTCAATAAAAATCCTCCCCACATGCGTATTGAAATTAGGTCTCTTGTGTGCAACATTGAAACTCCGAACCGCCGCTGCACCACAGACGTCATTTTTTGTGGTTGTTTGTTTTCTATTAATTTTAGACAAAAGATGTTGGTGCTGCCAATGGAAGTGCTGATTCCCTGTCTCTCCATGGCATGACGGTGCATGGCACCAATGGTGCTGCTGAGCCACCAGTCCCTCCCACTCCAAAGGCTAGACAAAGAGTAAGTTCTTTTTAACACCTGTTTGTTCCCTTAATTTATGACTGTTAAGGGGAGGTGTGGGGGGGGGGGTACACCTCAAGGCTATCTCGCTTATTAGTGGATCAAATTTTACCTAATTTCACAGATATAACAAGCATGGTACGGAGTCTTAAATCCGCAATCAAATTTGAGAAAAGTTTTTCGGTTCCACGGATACCGTGGCCATATTGGATTTTGTTGATGTGTCTTACATAATGAATGCTGCTCTTATTTTCGTGGAAGTAGATTATTTTTTTGTGTACATGTTAGCAAAAAATAGATTTACAAATTTTCCTGTTGAATTGTTCTGAAATGAATAAGGACATTTTTAATGACTTTTTTCCTGAAGTAGATCTAGTAATCAAGTTTGCAAAAAATTCATGAAAATCCACCTTCCAGACACCACCACCAAAAATCTATTCCGTATGTATAAAAAATTTAATAGACAAATCTTTAGTATTTTATCTTCTCTTCATTCTGTGAAATTTTCATGAAGATTAGATCAAAAATGGTGGAGTTATTTAAACAAGTATATTGAAAAACAGCGTTTGGGAAATGGTGGTGACAAACATGCCGGGTATGGGAAGAAATAAGGCTTTAGGGGGTTCTTATGCAATAAAATAGTTGTAAGAGAGGCTGAAGAAGCTAAAAATGCCTACAACTCAAAATCCATCATTTTGAGCCAAATCGGGGCTTTTGGGGTTTAGCCCCCCCCCCCCCCCCCCCTCTCTCCGCCCCTTTAAGTGAATTATATTTTTGTGACATGTGACAGCTGTTTGTAGTGATATTTTGTAAACTTAATTTGTTCATATCAGTGCAGTAAATCATGTTTGGGCGGGGTGGTATATTCTTTTGTGATTTGCTCCTTTTTTTCTTATCAAATGTGTATCATCCTTTTCTTTCCTACTTCTTTTTTGTGTTTGTTACTCTCTTGTAACAAACTTTAATGACCTTATTGGGTTGCAAGTACCATAAAACTCTTACTAAAACTAAAGAAAACCCAAATAGTGCTTGTATGACTTGTGCACTTTAGTTCAATTAAGCTGGATGCGTTCAGAGGTGCTGCTGCCGAGGTGAGTTTTTTTTGTTAATGGCAGCTGAGCTCTTTTTTCTTGCAGGCCACATCATGAACTAATTTTGCTAAGTTTGTACTCAAGCTCCTCAATGAGATATCATTTTGTGCAGATATGTCAGTATAACTCTTTATCTCCAACAAGGCACTCCCCGCGGGTCGTGGTCGGAACCACTGTGCCGGTGAGCCACTGACAGCGGCTCGGGCACATTCCTTTACGACAACTTCGACATCAAATTGATTTTCGGCAGTTGGCAAAAACAGGTCTTTTATACCGGAAGTTCATTCATTAGATGAAGAACTGTCAAAATAGGTTTGCTAGTTTCGATTTTATGACCCATTTAATGACGTTTTGGTCATTTTTAGATTTAGCACCAAAAAAGAGCCCCAGCGTAGTGGGTTTACCCCCCCTTGGAGATAAAGAGTTAAAGAACTTTTCTTCCTTTTTTTTTCTTTGTATTGTGTGTTTCAAGTTATACTGTGTGTTGTCTTTTCCTTTTTTATTTCCTTTTTTTCTTCTCTTTTGTCAGTTTGGCCAGATTATTGACATCCGCTCCATGATCAACGATGCCACAAAAATGAATGCAGAAGAGGGATGTGATCCTTCTGGCACTGTGAGTAAAGTATACCAGAGACTAGCTTTGCTGCTAAGATAAGATCGCGCGCTCATATGACCTTAGCAGTTGGGAGCGCCGTAAAACCTTATACTATGCATACATACATAAGATAAGATCTGATATCCGTCCAATAATAAAATGAATGTATGTTGTTTTTGGCATATGACAATCAACTTTGAGAATAATCAATTTACAGAATTCTCTGTCGTCAAGAAGTCAAATTTGTCAAAAGTTACTTTGTTAGTAATTATTTTGGTAATACTTTTTTAAAGCAATCTTTAAATTTTCTTTGATTTTTATAAAACTTTAGATATTAGCCTGGCTTAAATTTATTAGATTCCCATTGGAATACCTGGGGGGAATTTTCATAATGTCAAAATGGAAAAGAGTTTGAAATAATTGTAAAATGCAAGAAATTTAAATATTTAACATGCCTTGCTAGCTTAATTTTGCATACAACTCAGGTAGTTGTAATACCAAGTTACCTTCAACAAAATGCGAAATACTAAAGCTGTTTACTGGTTTATATTATTATTCATTTATTATTTTAGAAGTGCAAAGTGTTAATAATTTTTGCTGGCTATTAAAAAAATTTGGTTCATATTCAATTAGTCTGTGACAATTCTGTGTGTGTGTGTTTCTTTTCACAGGATCGCATTTTGAAACCCCTTGGGGGCTACATGGGCTACAACAGTGAATGGAGAGAACTGGCCCAAGTCATACAAAGGGTTAGTTTCCCATTCAACTTCCTCAATGCTTTGATGAAGACAGGTGTACAAAGGTGTATGTACCAGGTCAAGAGCCCCCATCTTCCTGTCTGTATACACTAAAGCAGTGTCAGCTTGACTAGGGAAATACTGAGATGTATAGTATACTAGCTGGGCCCCCTTTCGATGAAAGGAATGATCGGTGCATTAACATGAACTGAAAGTCATTGTCCTACTATATTTACACTCAACTGGAATTTAGCAATAAATCTTGAGATAGATGTGACACCTATGTTTCCAAGTTACCAAATATATTATAGATGTATAGATTGATTCTCTATTCTGCTTTTGTGGTTGTACACTCTATAATTTCAATTTGTGGAATCGCACGGCTAGTGAACGAAAACCTCACTTGTTTACAATGGTGTCTTAGAAGACGGACTTTCCCAAGATTAGATCTAAACGAAACTAATGAAAAACTGAAAATTAAACTGCAGTGACTTCAGATTCCTCAATGAAACTTTAACAGATTTTTCATATTATTTCCCTTTACCTCTCAATGTGCAGTTTAGCTTGAGTAATATGATTGTTTATAAGGTCTTTGTTTTGTTTCAGGACATTTATCATCAAAACCCTAATGTAAAATGGGATGATATAATTGGTCTAGATGAAGCAAAACGCCTAGTCAAGGAGGCAGTTGTGTATCCCATAAAGGTAAAGTCTGACAGAAGCCTTTTTTCCATTCTGTTTCTCAGGTCAGAGTGGATGTGTGTTCTGTTCAATGTTCTTCTTTATCTAGTTGTTGTCTTGCTTATCCTCCTTCAATATGTTGACCTGTCTTTTCCTGATGTGCTTTTGTCTTTTCAACTCAGCTCATATTACTTTTTTTGTACTCAAGTTGGCTTAATTAAGTTTGTAAACTTTTAATGCTCCTGTGTTTTTCTTTTTAGCCTCATTCATCTGCACTAGTAATTGTCTAATAAACTCCCATTCTAAGAGATATGTACTAGTGATGTAGATTTTAGTTTTTGAGTTTGAGGATGGTCTATGTGAAGTTGACAAGTGAGTAGATAATCGGAGAACCTTGTGTTGCCCTTTAAAAAAAAAAGAATCCAAGAGCTGGTGCTTTCAAGCTATTCCCCGCACCCATCCCCTCTTCCCGCACATGTAATGCTGTAACCTTATTCCATTATTTCTTGTACTTTCCTGGCTTATTGAAAAGAAAAATTATATGAAACTGTTTGGTTTTAGCATTATTATAACATAACAATTTTTCGTTGTTTTCAGTACCCCCAGTTGTTCCAAGGCATTCTTTCTCCATGGAAAGGATTACTGCTTTATGGTCCTCCAGGTAAATATTTGTCCTTATTTCTAAATGATTGTTGTTTTGTTGCCCAGTATTTAAAGAATGCTAACCTTGATTAATTATAATAATGATAATAATAATAATTAACTTTGAACAAAAAAACAAACAAAACAACAATAAAAAAACTGCAATAAACTTGATGAGTGCGGAAATGTAGTTCTATAATTTATGCATGATACAATTTTTGGTAGAGGAACACCTATTGCTAAGCTTTTCACAGCCTCTCAACACACAATTTGGGCAATAGCACAGGCTGAAATTTTTAACCTAGCTGTGAAGAAAGAAGACAGCGGAAATAGAAAACAAACAGACATGGACAGAAACAAGCAGGCATTCGTGCTCAAAAACATACTGAGAAATGGTTACAGGTTAGGAGATGATTAGGTCATAGGGGAGTTTGGGTGTGCCAGAAGATATCAGGCGCACCCCCCCTCCCCCCCCACCTTTGCATTTACTGAAGGTGTGAAGGAGTCTGCTTACTACCAGGAAACACTTGGATGAAATATATGTTATGTGTGTGTGCGTGTGTGTCTCTCCCTCTCTCTCTCTCTCTCTCTCTCTCTCTCTCTCTCTCTCTCTCTCTCTCTCTCTCTCTCTCTCTCTCTCTCTCTCTCTCTCTCTCTCCCTCCCTCCCTCCCTCCCTCCCTCCCTCTCTCTCTCTCTCTCTCTCTCCCTCTCCCTCTCCCTCTCCCTCTCCCTCTCCCTCTCTTTCTCCCTCCTCCCCTACCCCCTTCCTTCACTCTCATTTTAATTTTTTTTTTTTAACAGCAAAAATTAAATAGCAAATAACATATAGCAACGAAATAGCAAAAATGCATTAATGAACATGGTCTCTTTCTCACTTTTAAAGAATAACACCTGCTGTGACACTGCATGTTATAAGAGGCGACTAAAGTAAAGGTGCATAGGTCTAGTCTTTAAAAAAGTGCCAGTTTGCGGAGGGCCAACTACCCGACCCTGAAAAAAAAACTAAAGTTACGGAAACGGGAACAAACACGCTTATTTATTTTTCCTTTTCCCAGGGACTGGAAAAACCTTGCTAGCCAAAGCTGTGGCCACAGAGTGTGGCACCACTTTCTTCAACATCTCTGCGTCAAGTATTGTTAGCAAGTGGAGAGGTGATTCAGAGAAACTTGTTAGGGTAAGAGTTCAGAGTGACATCTTGGTGTATTTGTTAGAAATCATGTGTGGAGTATTTTTGCGCCTTGAGTGTTTTTACACATTCTAAGCTCAAGAAGTTGTGATTCAATGAAATTTACTAGCGTGTAGGTTTGCTCTTGGTTTAGATTTCTGTGACTATAATAATAATAATAGATAGCATTTGTTTAGCGCATATCCCCGATCAACAGCAGGCTCTATGCGCTTTACACTATATTATTACCCCAGCAGACCATAGAACACTCCGAAACATTCTCAGCTTCCTGGGAAGCACACAGTGCAAGCAGCCGATTAAGCGCTCAAACACTAACAAACTGACAAGATCTTTCGCTGTCTATAGCCGGGTACCCATTCCCACCTGGGTGAAGTGAGGAAAATTCGTGTAAAGTGCCTTTCCCAAGGACACAACGTCGGGCCCTTGATGGGATTCGAACCCACGACCTTACGGTTGCGAGTCCAAGAGCCTAACCACTAGGCCACCAACTATGTGGTGATGTTTAACAGATAATTGTAGCGGGTTATGTGCCAAGTGATTTATACCCAAATTTACTTTTTTGAAGGCTTTTGCAGTTGTCAGTTTTAGTTTAGTAAGCATTTTACTGCACTTGCGACACAAATAGATTATATTAGTGTGGAAGTTTAGAGGTGCTACTAGAGCTACCAGCTCGCACCCCTCCTATCTCATCCAAAAATCTCCATAGACACATAGAGACAGCTTGTCACCTCAATATTCATACCAACGTTATGCTACCAGTGCCAGACCTGGACATTAAGTAAAACCCATGAAAGCAAAATCACCGTTTGCGAAATGAAATGTCTTCGCTAAACCCTTAACATCACAAGACGAGACAGGCAGAGAAATGAAGAAGCAAGAGCAGCTATCGGCATTGAGTCTTGCGTGCATTACATAGAAAGAATAAAATGGTTTGGCCACCTATTATGTATATCACCTGGCCTGCCAGCCTCGAGAGCCTACAATACCAAGCACTCAGGCTATAAAGGAAGAGGAAGGCCACTCAAAAAGGTGGATCGAGGATGTCGAGGAAACTTGAGAAAACATATCAAAACTGAAAGAGCTGGAGAGCTGGCATACCATAGAAAACTGCATCTCCCCTCGACGCTTAACGGCAATGGACTATGAAAAAGTAAAAGTACTAGAGAGTAACATACAAAAAGAAAAGATGGAGAAGAGATAATGGTGATACATGTTGGATAGGAAAAAAGGTGTAAACCACACCAGAGCACCTACCAACCACCCTCATTAAAAAATGTTTTTGTTGAAACATGTTTCGGTTATAGTGTCAGTATTGTGAACTCAAAGGAGTTATCACTTCATGGTCTACATTTATTTATCAATTTTGACCACATCAATGATCATTTTGTTCTCTGACTCGAAAATACTTTGTTTTGTATTGTCTTTTTTTTTTGTAACAAATTTTCTTTTCTCCTGCAGGTGCTATTTGAGCTTGCTCGGTTCCATGCACCATCCACAATCTTTCTGGATGAGTTGGAATCTTTGATGAGCCAGAGAGGCTCACAGGGTGGTGGTAGGTGAGTGATCCTTAAGGGTTTTGAGTCAGCAGATTTCACTATAAGCTTCAGCGTGCGGCTTTTGTGCATTCTCGGTCTATAGAAGAAGCATTAATCCCATAGAGTTGAGCCTGCTCTAACAATCACTTGTTCAAGACAATAACTTTTACAAACAACCACTTCCCACTTCCCCATTAATTTGTGGGTTTTTTGTACTTTATGATGACACTGTCCAAGATGTCCGCCTGTCTAAGACAACCACTTTTCTCCTTGACAATGGGTCGCTGTCTTGGAGAATTTTGACTGTACATCACTTTCAGCTGTGGTATAACAGTGAATCTGCCTCAAATACGTGTTGTTATCAAGATGTTGTGCTTCTTCAAAGATTGTAAACCAGATATGACACCCCATAAAAGTTTGTACTCAGCTACTTAAGGGATTAAATGAAAATTTTTTGTTTGGTTTCTCAAATAGAGACATGACCCATTTGTCAGAGCATCATTTCCTTCTTTTCTTTGTATAAGAGCTGGCTTGTTTGCTAAGAGTAATGGTCTACCTGTTTTTTAAATGTATTGCCGCTGTTTCTGATGTGGATGTTTCTTTTATTTTTCAAATAAAGGAGTAACCTGTCTTACAGATTAATCTTTGATTTTATGCAACAGCCATTGTTTTACAGCAGTCACAATGTGAGGGCAGAATATCTGTACCCAAGTAAATTCCTCTTCAAACCAAGCTACGTAGGTTGCAATCAAATAAACTGCACATGATAGAAAAGGTCAATTGGCATTTTCAATTAATTCTGGTTTATTTAATTAATTACAGGTTTATTTCTTTCAGCCCGCTTCCTGCATTTTGGCACATCCACACAAACACACACACACACACACACACACACATCCACACACTCACTCTCAGTTCTATGATTTCCTGTCCACAGTGAACATGAAGGTAGCAGGAGAATGAAAACAGAGCTCCTTGTACAAATGGATGGTCTCTCCAAAACAGATGACCTTGTGTTCCTGTTAGCCGCATCGAATTTGCCGTGGTGAGTGTCTGTGGTGTATCTCTATGGACAACCCATTATTATCTATGGTAATGTAAAGCCTCATGTAACGGTGTGTCTTTTGCTAATACATTGCTCTCTTGATTTGGTAGTAAACTCATAATTTGGGTTCAAAGTTGCATGTTCTTAATTAAGGTAAACACAGACTTTGTTATTTTGAGATATGTTTTTCATTATCATTGTAAGTGTGTTTGTAGAAAGGGGGGGGGGGGGGGAACGGGGGGGGGGGGGGGGGGGGCTCTCGTGGGGGGGGGGTAAATCTGTCATCAAAAAGATGTAATTGGATCAGAAAGGAAGAGAGCAGAACAAGAAATTCCTTTCCTGAATCTTAATTAGAGATTTAGTTCACCTTGCTTATCAGTCGCACAATACGTAATATATAAAAACATTTTCAAATTTCAGCTCGTAGTCTTTTAGTTTTTAATGATGTTGTTTAGCTTGTTTATGTAAAAAAAAAAAGATTTTGTCTCTCATTTGTACTCTTCTTCAGTTTGAGTACATCTCTGTTGAATTGATGTAATTTAGATTTGTATTTCTTATCAATTCCAGGGAACTGGATCATGCCATGCTGAGGCGTCTTGAGAAAAGGATTCTCGTTGATTTGCCAACATATGAAGCTCGCAGAGCAATGTTCAGGTTTCATCTCCCCCCTGTTGTCTCATCGAAGGAAGGAGGTCTGGAGCTGCTTTCAGAACTGGACTATGACATGCTAGCTGTGGTAAGATCATTAAGGATTTGGGGACAATGCTTAGCATTTTCTCTCTTTCATATCGAAGGTACAATGTATGTGGCTTTGTCGAAGTGAACTGTATAAGTGGGCCCGCTGTTCACTTAAACCTTTTCACTGCTTTGTAGATGTATACATATATATTGTGGAATTGGCAGCTTAGTGGTTAGGCTCTCGGACTTAAGGTCTGGGTTCGAATCCCTTCAGGGGCTCGACGTTGTGTCCTTGGGAAAGGTACTTTACACGAATTTTCCTCACTTCACTTCACCCAGGTGAAAATGTGTACCGGGCTATAGTCAGTGAAAGATTTTGTCAATTTGTTAGTGTCTGAGTGCATGAAATTCACAGTTTGCACTGTATGCTTCCCGGGAAACTGAGAATGTTTCTAAGTGTTCTAGGGTCTGCAGGGGTAATAATACTTGTAAAGCGCTTAAGGGGTGTTGTAAAGCGTGGATATGCACAATATTAATGAAATGATTATTATCGTTATCATTATTATTATTATTATAGTTTTATAACATTTAATTCACTTCTGATTTTAACAATTCGTTGTTACATTTCAGAAAACTGATAGCTATTCTGGATCTGACATCAAATTGTTATGCAAGGAAGCAGCAATGAGGCCTGTCAGGAAAATATTCTTTGCTTTGGAAAACCACACAGAAGGTGAAGTTTGCTTGTGTTATGTTTTTGTTTCTTTATTTATTATATGCCTCGTCATATCTTTTTTAACTTCTTTGTTTATTTTAAGCTTCTTCAATTGCAAATAATCAACTGTCATTTTTAATCTGAGCCCGGATATTGTAGGAATCTGCCATCAAAAAGTAAGTGTGTACTCATTTGTGTGTTCTCAAATTATTTTTTGAGAACTTTACATGGATCAAGGTAGCTGAGCAAAAAATCATAGAAATATTTGTTGTTCTGCAACTGCAATGTGACCTGAGTGATTGCATGCCCTAAAAATTGATTAGTGGTTGTTTCAGACAGCTTAAAATTAGTTGGGTAAATTTTTATAAGAATTGGTATGTTCAATTGTAGTCACCATCATACGCTAGAGTTTTTTGTTTTTTTCAAGGTTCTCAATTCCTCGTAATATTTTAGTGATCAAATCTTTTTGAAAGGTAACAATATGGCTTTTATTGTTCATTTTTGATTTCATTACCTGTATGTTGTTTATATAATGTGTTTGTTATTCCAGGGGAAGAGCTCCATATACATCTGGATAAAATAAAGACAAGTGATGTTCTTGCAGCACTGGAGCGAACAAAACCATCTGCTAAAACAATGAAACAGAAATATGTAGACTGGCAACGGGAGTTTGAATCTGTCTAACAAATGATAGACCAAATACTGTTATTGTTGTTGTTATTTATTTTTTAATTGCATTCAATCACATTCCTCGTATTTTGACCTCCTTTTAAACAATGTGAAATTTGATCATTTTGAAAATTTAGAATTGGGCATTTATTATATTATCCTCCGAAATGTCAAGAAACATGCTATTTTGTTCCCAGTGATAAAAACAGATTCTATTGGGCTTGTGAATGGCCTGTTTTTATCAGTATTATTCTTTATGGTCATTCCAGTATGCTTGCCAGTACAAAACAGAAAGGTGTGGTAATGATTGTGGCGCTTCAGACAGAAGTAGAAATAGGTGGCATGTAAGGTGCAAGGATTTAATGGTGGTGTCAAACTGCTTTTTTCGTTGATAGAGAAAACATTATGGATTTGAATGGAGAGGGATGGTGAACTTAAATATTAGTAAGTCTTCACCAAGAAAAGGCCACTCATAGTAGTGGTGTCCTTAGATTTTATGTAAACCAGTAGGGCTGATTGCTTATTTTGATGGATAGGGTTTGTGAACCTGAATGATAGTAAGTCTTCACTAAAAAAAGCCACTCATATTAGTCCTCAGATTTTATGTAGACCAGTAGGGCTGATTGCTTATTTCAGTTGGTTATTTTTGTTGACATGCAAGTAACTTCTGCGCCTTCTGTTTCTTTTTATAATTGTGAACCTGTGTGTTCACAAGTATGTGTGTACACATTTGCATTCATGTGTGTGTTTGTGTTCATGCATGTCTGCATGTGCTTGAGTGTGAGAGACGGAGTATATGCTGAAGTGTTGTCACCCGCCATTTCTTGTTTGGAATGTCTGGAGAAGTTTTAGCCCATGTTTGCATGTTATTGAGAGTTGCTCCATAAGTAAATGTGATAATTTGATTACATGTGATATCATCTCCTATATTGTAGTCTTGAACTGGAACTACACTTTGATGTTGGGTAAAAAATACAGCCACAAATAATATTTAGAATTAGATGTAAATAAGATTTGTAGCAACCCAGAAGTGGTTAGGTATCTCGGATGATGTTCCATCATTTGTCGGTCTTTTGATGCAGGAACTTGTTTCACTGTATCCATGTGAGAGTGAGACTGTATTTCAGGGAGAGGGGAGGGGGAGGTGAAAGGAGGTGGGGTGGAGAGGGTTCTGGCTCCCTAAAATAATGAAATTCGAAGAAACCAGGATTTTTCCACTGGCTGGGAAATTGGTATTAAATGGGAGGGGGTCTCAACACTTTTAAAACACATTTAAAAACCGATTTTTATACGGATTTTACTTGAAGACGTTGATCAAATGCATACAAAAAATGTAAATTTGCCTTTTCCAAGAATACTCAAGTTTTGGAAATGAGTAAACTATGGCGTCCGCTTTTTCGCTAATTTTATTTTTAACACGAGGGGACCTCCACCTCCTTCAGTCACAATTATCTTGACTTCTGTTTAAGACAAATTGATATTTTTTTCATCGAAAATAAGGCAAATGAACAGGCTTTAAGTTAATACGAGTAACTTCATTTTCCCCAAAATGGACGAGAGCCTGATTCCGCCATATGAAACAAATGACTGACAGTTACAATGGTCCTGAGATTATGAATTGAATGTGCATTATAAAAATCTTTTCTTGAAAAGTAGTTCCAAAAGGAAAAACCAGTGAGCTTTTTTTTTATCTATTATAGTTTCCTTTTTTGGGGTGTGTGGTGGAAGGTTATTTGTCAGATTCATTGATTTTAGGAAGTCTCAAGAATCTTGGCAAGATACTGTCTAGCACGCTCGTAGTGAATAAGCACATAGTGAACATGCACTTAGTGAACAGATTTTCAGGTCCCTAATTTTTTCTTACATGCATGTATATTCTTAGTATTTCAAACATATACATAGTGAAATTAGTACACAGGAAAAAGATATCTGTGCCTGCCACTTTCGCAATATGCGTACTAGACTGTAATTGACACACTGTTTGAGCATTTGCCTCAAATCGGAAGTTTTCCTGATGTGAACAATTGTGTGTTGATTCTTAAAAGTATGCATTGGGTTTATATTTTTTTATGTTATCTGCACCTTTTGATACGGTCTAATTTGACGTAATGTCTTTTGATAGAGAAAACACAGACAGATAAATCATGACCACCTCCACACAAAATACTGTTTGCAGTAGCTTTAGATTTGTTTTTGTTTCAAAAGGTGAATTACATGAAGGGGTACCGGTTTTGCTGTAAATAGGATTGTCGACTGTTGTAAATACAAAGTAACTGGATGTCATTATTTATACAGCTGACTCTGACCATAATTTGTTGGCAGTGGAAAACAAAGTCTCTTCAAACTGAGTGATACTGATATCTTTCTCCTTGAATTTTCCATTGGCCACTCTTTCTCTATGGTCTTTTCAACAGTGAAACAGTTTCTCTCATTATTACAAACATTTCAGTATTATAATGGTTTGCTTTGTCATTCACAGTTATTTTGAGGTCAGTTTCTTGCGAACTGACTTTGAAATGAACTTTTTCTGGTCATTACCTCACAAAGTAAACCATAAAGTGTAACTGCTGACAATAATGTTCTTGTTTACCAGATAGACTACATTTCATCACTGTGCTAGCAAAATAGCTTAACTCAGAGTTGTGCCAAAACACAACCAATCTTTTATTTTGTTTAGTGATACTATATCTATTTTTCGGTAAAACCAAAACAAAAGTGCGCTGGTAGTCACAATAAAAATGTGCGTGGCGAGGTTTACCATTATTAGATGATTAAATAGTCTAGTTAAACAGTTGTTTTTTTCCATTTATCTCAAAAGTAGCAAAAATGAGATGTGCCATTTTGCTAGCGCATTGATGATTTGTCATAACACAGAGATTGTGACAAACATGACAGGTTTACTCTATAGTATAAAGTTTCAGAACACGTTGTAATTTTGCTTGTTATTGTTGTCTTTGTATCAATTGTTATTTGGTTCAAATAGGTTACAGATGAAAAGTGTCAAAGACATGATAAAGCATTATATTTTCAGGCACCAGAACCAAATGAAAAATTCTTAAAGTTTTTTACTCTACTCTATTCAGTATCTATAAAGAGTTGACAAAACTGGTGAGCTGTTTGGGGGGGGGGGGGAGGAGGGAAGTCTAGGTAACCTAGAAGAACTGCATTTGTCTCTGGTGCCAAAGTGTCTTTAGTTAATTTCATGTTTGCACGACTGAATAATACCTGGTCATGGAAAATCAGCGATGCATGTTGCATGTAACGTAAGATAATCTTGTCTGGGGAATAGGAAAGACAGCTTTCAATTTCAGTTAACCCATTCCTATTATCAGGGAAAGAAGAGGAAATATAGTGTTAATTTTTCACCTCTGAAGTTGAAATCTTTGTCAGAATAATAAACAATTCCGTTGCGCATTCATATATGACTTATGCAGTTGGGAACGCCATAAAACACTTTCCAAAACAATAGAAAACATTTCCTTGATAGTTTAAAAAAAAACAATTTCTTTACAGTGCTAACCCTTTCATGTTCACATTCTCGGCCAGTAATGGTCGCTCATTTTTTCAACTTTCTGTGCTCAAAGCAGCCTCCCGGTGCTCATATTCTTTTGCTCTTAACTCTTTCACTACTGGGGGGTTTTCCTCACCTGGACTGGGCCCTTATTCTGTGACCTACTTTCTGATTCTGCCTACTGTCGGACAAATTTAAAGATTTTTTTAGTTCAATTTTCAATATTAGCCACATGTATTATATTTGAAAATAAAGGAGAAATAATTACCTGTCTCAACATGTTGCTAAAAATTATAAATCTTCAGCCTGAGATTTCAGATTCGATTATTACAAAAATAGGTATGATTTTGAAGTAGAAAGTAACGAGCCGTGAAACACAGCTCGCTGTAGTGAAAGAGTTAACGGAAGTAAGAGTAAATTCTGATTGCTGGCCTTTGCTCTGACAAGATTTCATCACCAGAAATGTAAAAAAAAAGGTTTGTTTAAGGTCAGTGGGTTTTTAAAAAAATCATAGCCAAGTTTACCAAAATATCTTGCCGGAGAAATGAGCTCGAACACTGATGGGGCATTATTTACTGTCAAGTTTCGGCCAGGGTTTAACGCTAGTGCTGCAGATTTTTATAATTTGTTTAGCCAGTTTTGGCTGGGTTGAACAAAAAAGGGTTAGGTTATGATTTTTTTTCTTTGTCTTTGAATGGCACCACTCTTCTTACCAATTTATAAATGAGTTACAGCCTTTCTGATACCTTGCCTGGCTGCAACCTATTTATTATTTACGTTTTTGTTCTTAATAGTGAATACAGTCTGAAAGAACATCATTTTGTTCTTTATGTTATTTCTCTTGTTGTGTAGATGTGACTGAAGACATGTTCTTTTACTACGAATGTGGAAATCCAATGCAATAAATTCTTTGTATAATATATGTGTTTGTGTTTTATTTTGTATATATTATTATTTTGATCCATTTTGTGGCGGGTGGTTGGAGGGCGCCACTAGTAGTTCCTTCTTCTTTACTTTCCCTTCTGCTGTTTCTGTCCGTCTGTCAGTCTGTCTGTCTGTCTATTTTTTCCCAGCATTAAATGACCACTGCTGTGTGTGTCGCTGTACTTCTCTTTACTCAAACAAACAAAACAAAAGTTTATTTATCATAGTTTTTGTTTCGCAGTCATCATTTTCTTCTCCTTTCTCTTTTTTGTTCTTTCTGTGCTCTCCCCCACCCCCTCTTTTTCTCTCTCTTTTCTTCTTCTTCTCCTCCTCCTCCTCCTCCTCCTCCTCCTCCTCCGGGCGTCAGGTCTAGAGCAGACATTGAAGATCACACCACCGCACTCCTACTCCTTCCTGTCGTCTGTCATTCTGATCCGCTCAGTTGGGGGGGTTTTCATTGTGTTGTTTGTTGCAAAGTTATTCAGGTCATCTGTGAAAGTTGTTCTTCGTCGTCTTCTGCTCTTCTGTTCTTCTATTTGTCCAAATAGCTGACGTTTCTGAGTGGGTGGTTGGCGGGTGTTCTGGTGTGGTTTGCTTCTTCTTTCCTATCTATCATCTTTATCTCCCCTCCGTTTTGTGTTTGTTACCCTCTTGTAACACTTCTAATCTTCGGCACTTGTATGACCTTATTGTGTTGCAAGTGCCATAACATTCTTACTAAACTAAAAACTAAATGTTTCTGTGGTCCATTTGACCTCTATTTATATGGCCAAAAAACTCAATTGTCTCTTTCTGATGGCCCTAATTCTTTCGCAATTCCTGTCATTTGAGCACTTTTCTTCAGTTGTCTTCCTCTTTATGTCCTTGAGATTCTGAAAATTCTTCGTATATTTTAAAGGAAGTGGCGCTCCGTAATCTTCACTGCTTTATCTTCCATTTTCCACTTTGCAGTCGCTTATGAAATGTGGAACGGGGGTTTCACCCCCCTCCCCCCCTAAAAAAACCAACCCACAACCCTTTTTCCACGTCACACTTTTAAAATTAAAGCCTAATCTGTAGGGCCTAGGTTCCACACAACTAAATATTCTTACCATGCGTTTTCGTTTTACATTAAATATTCTCGCTTTCTGTTTCCTTTTTTACTCTAAACATCCTTACTATGAATTTTCTTTTTTCGTAGCACAAAGAAGGATCCCTAAAATAATGTAAGGTCCTTGCATACTGCTCACCGGTACAACTACAACACATCAATTCTTCTACCAAGTCCAGAGGAAGCCCTCAGATACGCACTGCGCAAACCTTAAATTGACGGCCAACGGAATCAGGGACTTGAAGATATCGACAGATATTATTATTTTAGCCTTATTATCACCACCACTTAATGTACACCACACAAACCAAATTAACAAGGTGAAATCACTCAAAACCAATGGATGTATGCTTTTGTGCACTATGTAAATTTATCCTAATAGTGGCAATAGTCTCGATTTTCTACATCTAGGCAAGCCAGTTTACATCCTTATATTATGTAATAGTAATAGAATTATTCCAATTTGCCCCCATCACCCTTTGTAAGGCCATGACTTTTTATTAAGTCGCGGGTTTCCTATTGAAAATGAGGCAAATCTCATCTTTCACCCACCTCTCTTCCAAAAAATGATACTGAACCAAACAGCGTACTTCTTGAAATGTAACTGCTCCTTCTGTTATCTTAGTTCTTCTGTGTCTGACACAGTGTGTGTGTGTGTGTGTGTGTGTGTGTGTGTGTGTGTGTGTGTATGTGTGTGAGTGTGTGTGTGAGTGTGTGTGTGTGTGAGGGGAAGGGGGCGTCTGTGTGTGCGTGTGTGTGCGCATGTGTATGTGTGTGTGTG